TTTTTTCCCAAAATAGCCGAGTCGGACACTTCATTTTATTTTCATTCCTATTGACTTCCCTAGTGCATGTGCTTGTACCTTTTCATACCTTTGTGCAGCTGGTGGAGTAAGCTCATATGTTGTTACAACTAATGACCTATTTACTATATTTGCACTTGATTGCTGGAGTGTAACTAATAGTATGAGGCACTCAGCCAATTATAAGTGTTCTTGGTTTGGGCTTTATGTTGGGTCAATAATAATAATAACTCTTGTATGTGGGCCGGAAACTTCAGGCGGGAAGATGCCTACAACTTAGGAGCCTAAATTTAACAAACTCACACACAGAAACACTCAAATTCTTGAAAATTTCATCATACACCAAGGTGGTACACCCGTTCAAAATACATTTGTTATAAAAAAGCGGAAAGAACATTGTATACAAATACAAAGTACACGAGAAAAAAAAAAATCAAAACGATTCTCCTCTTGATTTAAAAGATTGATTTGTTATTTTCATTCCTTAATTCATTATTAACATTCCATTTTTTTATTTTTTATGTTTTTTTTTTTTTTACTGAACATTACATATTACTTTTGATAAACAAAAAATCATTTTTTTTGTTAAGAGGAAGAAATTGGGTTTATAGAGAGAAATTATGGTAAAATTTTGAATTTCAAAGTGATTTAATGTTATTTCGGAGTTGATTTTATCATTTTGATTGATCATTTAATTGAAAGATCGATGTAATTGACAAATTCGTTATTGAGAGAAAAGGCATTTTCAAATATTTTTTGTTATCAATTTTTATGTTTTGGTGTTATTTTCAAGGTTGAAGATGATGTTCTTCCTATTTTGATGAATGTTCTTTTATCATTTTTTTAATTGCAATGAAATATGTTTTTTTAAGTCTGATCAATATATATTCTTTGAGTCTAAACTATATGTTCTTTACAATACAAACAATGTTCTTTAAGTTAATATATATTAGGAAATTTTGACTTTTGCTACCTATCAAACACATCAATTTCATTTTTGCTACCTATGAAAACTTTTATTTTATTTTACTACCTAACATATTCCCTTTTTTTAACTTTTGCTACCAGTTACGTTTCAGTTAATAATTCCGTTAGTGAGATCCAGCCACCCTCATTACCACCTTCCTACCACCACTACCTTCTTAGCCACCCTAAATACCTCCCCCGTCAGCGACCAAAATTTTAAAAAAATAAATAATTTTTTTTTTAAAAAAACAGCCACCAAGCCTAGCCCTCCCGTAGTCTTGTTAGCCACCCATCCCTCTCCCCCCTACCGGCGACCAGCGCCTAAAGCTGCGGCCAGCGCCAGCGAACCCAGCCCCCTCCCTTCCCCCACCGACGCAGCCCCCGCGTCGCACCACCCACTTGAACCCTCCCCCTCCCTTTCCCGCAACCGTATCGCCCCCAAAAACCACCAAACCCTCGTCCCTCCTAAACGGCGGCGAATCCGGCCTTAAAAGGCCGAAATCGGTCGGTTAAGGCCACTAAGCCCCAAAATCGGCCGATTTCGGCCATTTGTGGCCAAATTCGTTGTCGTTTTAGGGAACAAGGGTTTTGGGTTATGTTGTTTTCGGGGGCGACAGGGTTACGGGAAAGGGAGGGGGAGGGTTGGGGCCGGTGGTGCGACGCCAGTGGTGGGTTCGGGGAGGGCAGTGTTGGGTTGGGAAGAGGGCGGTGGTGGCGTTGTGGTGGTGGTTGGGTAGTTTTAGGTTTTTCTTTTTTTTTTTCTTTTTTTGGCCAATAATAACACGACACGTGGCTATATGGGCCCACTTAACGGATTCCTAAACGGAATCAATTAAGTGGTAATAATACCAAATTTTTGGAAATTTATCTGGTGTTAAAATCCATTTTTTTTTGGGTGTTAAAAACAACTTTCGCGTGTTTGAGTGGTGTTAAAATCTAAAATAACCTAAAGTATATCATGAATTTATAAAAGAACATATCACTGAAATATAATGAACACAGTATATAATGAGATACTTATTATCAAAAAGGTAAAAGATAATTATGAATTGAGTTTTACCAATAATTAAATTTCAAAATATTACATTTGAATCAGAAAATATTTAGATTTCAAAAATTTCTCTATCTAAAATAAATTTTACACAAATATAATTCAAAATTTCTTTCTTAAATTTCAAAAATTCGAAATTCAAAATATAAGAACATATATATGAGTAAATAGAACATAATTTGTATTATTATACCCAAAGAACATAATTGTATTATTATAACCAAAGAACATGATTAATATATAGGAAATTTTGACTTTTGCTACTTGTTAAACATGTGTATTTCACTTTTTCTACCTGGGAAAAATTTTATTTTATTTTACTACCTATCAAATCCTTTTTTAAAAATTTTGCTACTAGTTAACGGAATCTGTTAGGTTTCCGTTAAGTTTTTTATTATTTTTTTTCTTTTTTAAAAAAATAATAATGAATTTAAAATTAAAAAATTAAAAAAAAAAAAAAAAACCCCTCCCGTTAACCACCCTCCCCTCTGCCGGCAGCCGGCGCCCAAACCCCCTCCCATGTACCATCGACCCCATCCCTCTCCCTTTCCCCCACTAACGCAGCCCAACCATTCCCTTTTCCCCCTCGTTCTTGCTGCCCCGACCCTAATAACATATTGCGGCTTCTACGGGAAAAAGGACTTCAACTTTGCCGGAAAACAGGGGTGCGGCTTCGTCGGCAAAGGTAACGGTCTCGGGGTGAGTCGATTGTCTTCAATTTTTGGGTCGATTTTGGGGGAAATCAATTTTTGGGCTGCAATGGTGCGATGGTGGGGGAAGGGAGGGGGTTGCGATGGTGTGGAGGAAGGGAGGTGGTGGTTTCGGGGAGGGCTGTGGTGAGTTGGGGGGAAGGCGGGGGTGGCGCTGTGGTGGTGGCTGGGGTAGTTTTAGGTTTTTTTGTTTTTTTTTTTAATCTCTTTTTTTAAACAAATAAAATGCTGACACGTGTTACTTTGGGCCATACTTTAACGGAATTTTTGGATGGAAACTGTTAAGTGGTGGTAGTACCAATTTTTAGTAAGTTTGTCTGTGTTAAAATCCAATTTTTTTTATGGGGTGTGTTAAAATCAATTTTCGCGTTTTTGTGAGGTGTTAAATTCTAAAATTTCCTATACTTTATAATTATTTGCTATTTTCTTTCCGCTTTAATTTGGGTGTATGTACACCCGGGTGTAAAAACCACCAATTGTCAAATTCTTATTTTTAAAAAAATTGAAAAATGTGAATCGTATTAAATTTTATTATTTCGCATCCCTGTACCCATGTCCAAAATTAAGATGGCGTCTCCGTCTCTATAATTTCTAAAATGTTATATCAGCCTCTCGCATCCACATTCGAACCCGATACTTGTCCATGTAAAATAGGCCAAAAGTACTTAACTCCAACTACCTTTATTTTTCAGTGGCATCAAGTCTGGAGGCTATTGTACTTTAATAGTTACTTGTGCCTGCTAATGTTTTTCCTTTCTCTTGAGTCTTGACTATTGAACCACAATTGGGAAGAAATGAAAAAGAGTACTAGGAGGGGTAGGATTAAACTGGACTCCAACTGTTGGTTAATTCACCCCAAAGGCTTAGAGTCTGTACTTTAATTCCAAACTATTGCAGCCTTAAAACATTTTACTATCATTTTACATGGACTACTAGTACTTCCTAATCATGTGCATTGATGCATCTTTTCACGAATTAGCCCTTGTCTATTAGGAATTCATAACAGTGCCAATCATCCAATCTATGCAGAGTATGTCTACTGAGTGTTTAAATTACAATCTAAAGTGCACTTGGCCGGTTGTCCCTATCTCTGTATTTGTCAGATGGAAATCATCCGTACCTCTAGGAAATCAGAAGGAAGTTGTCTTTTAATTATAAGAATTGTTTTTTACTCTTCCAAATGTATCCTTATGACTTCATGCAAGATCCATTGAGATTATTATGAGGAAGGCCCAACTCAACCCCTAACCTTGTTAAGTAGCTGAATTATTTCACTCATTTGGTAAAATTATTAAAGAAATTTTCTTATCGAAATTATTTTCAAGCGCATTGTTGCTGATGTATAAAGGTTAGAAGTGTTTGCTAAGGTTTGGATTTTGAAAGTTGCTGCTGTCCTTCAGCAAAATAGTCATAGTAATTTATGGAAGCAGATCTTTCAGTTATAGGCCACAAGTTCCACATGGATAAACTTGCTCCTTTTAATGAGGATATACGAAAGCTTTCTTCTTGTGGCCTTGTGGGAGGCTCACAGTGCCATTTTAATTAAGATAAAAAAAAAATACAAAGCAGTCCTTCAATTAACCCTAGTACAGTTAAATCACTAAAATGCTAATTAAAACCTTGTATATGGCCTTCATTATGCCTCATTTGAGTTTTTCGGTATCTAGATCTTCTGATTTATCTGTACGGTTATAGGCTTCTAGGATAATATAAAATCACTGATTAGATAACTCCAAAAATGTTTGAGAACTTTGATCCATGCTGAAATATATGAAACTATAAAAGTATTGTTTGGTGATCAATCTATGGTCCAGGGCCATAAATAGTAGAAACTTAGCTCAGTTGCAGTAACTGTTGTACTCTGAGCAATTGTGCTGTGTTGGTTGGGTGGAAGACATTTTTTCTTCTCCTTTTTACTACTATTTGGTGGCACTAAATGAAAAATCATCGTTGATTACAAAATAGATGCTTTTAGATTTGCCTCGCTCTTCTAGTCTTCTTGGTGACTTGTTTATCAGTCTTTCAAGAAGGGTTATGTCCTCAATACTTCATTGATGTACTAGATGCTTTGGTTTTCAATTCTGTACAATTACAAAACTTTGTGAGAAGAGGCCTTGGATTCAGCTGAAGTATTTTGCATTTGTTCTAATTTCAATGGGCAAATTTTGGTCATGATGTTATTGAACTTGACCTGCAGAATGAAAGAATGCAGCTTTTCAAAAAGATATTGATCATCTTTCCCTTTGTTATTGCAGGGTAAGATTGTTCAAGCAAGAGGGCCGAACGATTTTGGCTGGGATCCAGTTTTTCAGCCTGATGGATACGAGCAGACGTAAGCTTTCTTCTCTGTTTTTACATGAGCGTGTACTTATTTATTTTTTAATTATTAACATCCATGAAGTGTACTGTGGTTATTGACAGTTATGCTGAAATGCCAAAGGAAGAGAAGAACAAGATATCGCACCGGTATCGAGCTCTTGCATTGGTTAAATCCCATTTTGCTGAGGCTGGATACACTTTTCACCCACACAATGCTTAATAACAAGCATCAATTCTGAGTCATGTAATTGGTCACAAAATTTTTAAGCTAAAGAAAGTAAAGATTATGGATATTTGACTTAAACTTTGATTATTTGTTTAATTTTTAAGCATCAATCCTCGATTGTGGGGGCATTTTAGTCTTTTTCTTAATATCTCTTGCAATTCATTAATTGTTTTGTAAAATCATATTCACATGGCTGGTAAAGTATGCACCGACACAAAATCCTTTAGATTTTGGGCAAATACTTGGTAGATTTTGGTGTTACTTTCTCCATTAAACCTTTCTAGTCTCTACCCCTTTAAAGTACTTGTATAACTTAGACTCTCCAATACAGGCATACAGTTGAAAGGTATAAAAAAAGATTAGTGTTCTTTTTTGTCTCTCTTTTTCTCTTGACTTTTATCTTTAATTCTACCTTGTCAATTAGTCAATTACCACTCTTGTGCCTTTAACTTTTCTATATTGCTATCTTACCAACTTCCAAACATCTACAATGAGTGAATTAGGTATATAAAGCATAATGACTAACCAAAATAAATTCCTAAAATCATCAAATCATAAGAAAAGATTTAGGTCAATTTATATTTTCAATTTAATTTGCATATATATAGTTCAAGTTAAACGACTTATTTTTTGAATCACCCGTTATACCTACAATCTAATTTTGTGAAAATTAATAGGAAATATTTTTAAAATAATAGACCAATAATTTTCACTTTGATAACTTGAGATATTGGTTGACTAAGAGGATATTGCTAATTTTATTTTGAATGATTACAAATTTTATTGAAACTTATAGATCCTTCACGGGGCGTTTAGGAATAGGATAGAGATTATAAGGATAAGAAGGTAGGATAAAGATATGGAATTAAGAGATGGGATAGGGATAAAAATTATGTTATCCATTGTTTGCCTATTTGATATGATTTGGAATTAAATTGGGATAAGTAGTAAAATTACTTAATTATCCTTACTAACATTTCTCTTCTCTCCGACTCTCCTCTTCCTTCCTTTTCATTAAGGATAAAATTGACTTTTACTTTTCAATATTAATCCAATCCATTTTGACCATAGACTTTAAAATTGACAAAAATCTCCTGTCTTTGTTGATAAACAATTTTTCTATTTTAACTTTTTTGTGAGACAATAACTGTCTAAAAATAAATAATTATTAGAAATCATGAGTAATTTAAATCTTTTATCCATCTACAAAAAGCTACAAATATATAAATCAATTGAAATTGGAATGTCCTTACTTAACCTTACGAATTAGGGCAAACAACTCACCTTTTTTTACTCTTATTTGGGAAAGTTAAATATTTGTCCTTAGTGTTTTATAATAATAATCCTTAATTTTATCTAGCTTATTAAACTAAATTAAAAGTGAAGCGGAGTATCTTATATCACTTTTGCACCAAGAAAGGAGATTAAAAATTAAAAATTTCTACTCAATACTCATTAATGTTTTAGTCATTAGTTCTTGGCAATGAACCAATGAGTGAGCTTTACTTCATCAATTAATAGGACTGATTAGAACAAATTGGGCCCCCATACCATGTGTAATTGCAAATTGTAGGGCCCACTTAAATGAATGATCCTTCCCATTATTTTCGCCGCTTTTCTCATTTGCCGCCATCTGTATTCAATGAAGTTGCTGAGCTAAGCTCAAACAAATTTGAGTTTGTTATGGAGCCCTAAAATAACACATACTATAGTTTTACACAAGTAAATTATAGATCTAAACAAAAATTGGTGGAGATATAAATTTTTTTTTTACATATAGTTCTAATTTGATCGGATGTCTCTAAAAATATGTCACGAATAATATGAATTATGCATAATATCTGGCATTTTAGCGCTATATGCCTTGAATGAGTTAGATTCGAAAATATGTTAATCATTATTAATCAAATACACAAATCAACCTGGCTTAGCTATATAATAGAGTCCTAAACTCGTGTTCATTGCTACTATAGACATTTCTTCTTACACTAGTGTAATGATAGTGTAGAGAGGACAAAAGTTGACCCGACACGATAATTCAACATAAGCTATTACAACCGTATATGTAAGGTTTTGTAATGAACGGACAAATACCAGTGGTGCATACACAGTATATATCCAGGATTGTTTAGACATGGAGAAAGAATAAAGAAACTTGATACTTATATTCAACCCAAAATAGTTTGTCCAAAGTTACTCAATCGAACATTTGGCCAATTGTCTAATCTGACACAAAGTTGGGGCATAAATTTCATACTAGATCTTACTACAACAATCACAAACTTATAGTGGGAAACCTCAGCTTGTAATTTGATGGCTTAAAAATCATCTCACATTGACTAATCACATGCAAATATGCAGCATATTGGACCTACCTCACATGCTATGGTATTTATTCCATTTTTCCTTAACTTGGCAGAAATAATATGGTAGACTAACATGCCAGGGGAATTGAACCCATTAATGTATTTCTTCTCTTCTGATTAGACTGTTGTTCTGTTAAAAGACTTCAATAATTTTTTTCTCTTTAATGGTGTGGTTCCTACCAGCCTTTGAGAGATAAGACCAATAATTCGAAAGATGAGAGCTTCCAAGTATTCATACTTTGGCAGAGTTAGATTTGCAATAATAAATTTCCGTCTGAAGATGCAATGCAGGAGAATCACAGGGGTAGGGGAGGGGGGGAGGTTGTTTCTGATAGACTAAGATCTGCATTCTGCAACACACAATTCAATTTCTGAATGTTTCTTGACAATTGTAACTTTTGTTCAAATCAAACTAGTACTTGTGTAACTAGGACTCACAAGAGAAAAGAAAAAGAAGATTACAAACCATTTCCCAATTCCTATAAATCAAAAACAAAGAACTGTAGAAACCTGACACTTCAGAAAAAAAAGGCAAAGGTGGTTATAAATTTAGGAAGAGGGTTGATTTGTTTTGGAGGGAATTCAAAAAAGGAAAGGGTAAATCAAAAGCCAAAAGAAGAAAGGAACAACGCTTCTGACCTTGCTGTCATCGCGAAATCTTTCTTCTGAAATGAAGCAGGCCGAGGTTGAGAAAATAAAAAAAGCCACACAAATTTGATTCAACAATGGATATAAAAGGCTTCTTCAATCCAATTATATGATTGATTCGACAATGGATATGTGAGGGTTTAATCAAATCATATATAGAGACAATGTGTAAAAAATGTACACTTGCCGGTGAGCTGTAGAAAAGTGGTTCAATCAGGTAAAGGTGACTTAATGGATCAATGCTGCTATATTGTGGTAAATCTATGGAAGGAAAACCAAAAATGGACAATAAAAAAAAATAAAATAAAAAAAAAGGGAAACTTGGACTCTTTTCTTATGAACAGAGTTGTAACTAAGGGCTAGCATTGGCGACCCCTGCGGCAGGAGAGAGGGCCTGCACTTGCTGTGATGGTTCCGACCATGGAAGAGGACTTAGCTCCCAAGCTTGAGGCTCTTGCGTAACTAGCTGAGGCTCCAGCTCCGGATGGGGTGAAGTATGCACCGTTCAGCAGTAGATCTCCCTCAGACCTCCAGTTCCAACCCTTCCATTTGTTTGCAGCTGTCTCCACCCTCTTTGTCACCTAAAAATTTAGTATAATTCACACCATACTCAGTATCAAAATTTAATGCAATGTCTGAAGCTCAATCATTCATTAATAATGTAAAATCGTGTTCATTGAACATGTTTAAGGGGATTTATTACAGGGCAAGTGTTTACCTCTTTCGCAAAAGGGTTGGTTGGGGCTGCATATCTGTTGCCCTGACTGTTGATGGTAGGGGCTGCACTTCCACCAATTGCATACATTTCCCAGTGGGTGTAGTCATTGTTCACCACATGGAAATAACCATGGCGACACCTGCATTTTCAAGGAAGCATTTTATATTACGACATGAACTAAGCATAAAGCTAGCTTGGTCAGAGCATGAATTGAACACATAACGTATAGCTGTGCATACCTTGGCATTCTCTGCATAAGGCCTGCACCAAAATGGTTAAATGCAATTGTAACTTGCATCGCCTTGTCTCTCACATAAGAATCACTATGTCCCAACAGCATCACCTATATTGCATTGCGTATAATGTCAGCCTCCCCACCGCCAAGTCAGTATAAAGCAAAAAATTACAGAAATATGCAGAAACAAAATACCTCATTATGGTGAGCAAAGTGATTGTTGGAAATGGTGATAGCAGTTGAACCCATCACGGCATCAACAAGTCCATCAGCACAGTGTGAGAGGGAGTTGTGATCGATCCAAATATGACTTGCGCCAAAGATTGAGATGCCATCTCCATCAGCCATTGTTCTCCATCCAAAATGAGTAGTGGAACTCCTCACCATAGCATTACCAGTGGGTTTGCAATCATGTATGTGAATGCCATGGATGATGATGTTTGTCACATACTGAATTGTAACACAAGCTCTATTAGCAATGTGGACATTGGCTCCACGACCATCAATTGTCTTAAAGCTGTTCATGATAAGCTCCTCCTTCAACTCAATCACCATGTCACGCTTAAATATGATCCAAAGAGGCTCTTCCTGGATAACTGCATGACGCAGAGTCCCAGGCCTGGGGTTGACAGGGTCATCATCACGAGGGTCTGTGACAACGTAGAAGCGACCATTCTTGCCACCAATGGCATTTCTTCCAAAACCAATACCGCAGTCAGCTAGGCGCTTACGGTTTTTGTGCCAGTTGCGGTCACAACGCCAGCAATCATCAACGGGGTTTCCTGTCCCACATGAAAAATAACCCAAATTCCTTCGCTGAGTGCTGTTCTGGATACTCCTGCAGAATACGACATAATATAAGTACAGCTTGTAGCAATAAAAGCAACTGCACCTCAGGACTACAAATAAAATATATCCTCAACCTCAACTCCTCAAGTACTTTATAAATATCATTATCTTTGTCAAGTGTAACCCTTAAGTCACTAGGAAATTCAGGTGACATATGATACAAGTGATGAATTCAAGAGAGGTTCAGGCTTCTTCCCCTGTGGACATGCAATTTTTCATGATATTTGAATCTTGCATTATATTATCTTTTACGCATTACATCAGTGGAAAAAACCTTCCTTGAAAATTATAAATTTACATACTCATCTAATTTACTAGGCTTGTTTTATGTAGAGTATATAAATAAACGGCAAATGCAGTAAATATCTACTGTTCTTGGGCCTAAAGCTTCAATATGACAGTTTTCATATCAAGACACCGACAATACACAATTACTCAATATTCAGTTGTAGACAAATTTTACATTTATTTCCACAATTCCTACTTCGCTGTGTTACTAGATGCATTGCAGAATAAAGTCCAGAACAGAGGTACTGTCAGTAGAATGTAAGTTGAACATATTCAATTTAGAGCCAAATAAGAAAAGGCTCCATCATCATACAAGACAAATAATAATAAGTTAGAGATCTAATGAAAGACCAAGGTGTCAAGATTGCATGAAAAAGTCCAGAATAACAGCTATTAATCTAGTGATTATGTTTTCATTGACAAGACAAATAGCATATGCTCATCATTAAATCAACCAACATCTTTACAGCTACTAATTAGTACCATTGTACCCCATCATTGCACAAACAGAATCAATTTGCAACGCCAACAGAAAATTTAACCCGAATACTCAACTCTGTGAAAGAATATCTACATCAGTCAAAAACTCAAAATTAATCCTAACCAAATTTTAGAGTTTCTTAAATGTCATTACAAGAAAGATGCATCTTCGAGAAAGCTAGATCATCCATCTAAAATCAATCGAATGAAACGTGGAATAAAAGAATCCACAGATACAATGTGGGTGATAAAGGGATGACATCAAAAGTTTAAAACAGTACAGTCTGTTGGTGCATAAATCACACAGTGACATTACCATAACCCGATTACAAGCAGAGCACAATAAGGATCATATTTATTACTCTTCAAAAGTTGAAAAAAAAGGCAAGTAAAGTGAGAAAGCCATAAACAAAAATAACTAAGTGTGACCAAAACTTATGTCACCGCCGAATGAGTAGGTGCAAAATGTGTGATGATATCAAACATCAATTATTTAGCCTCTCAGAAAAGCAATCTTGTACGATTAATGTATACATCATAACAATCACCAAAAATGAATGAAACTCTATAAGAGGCAAAATCTTGTGCAAGACAAACTTCTAACTCGCATCCTTTGGAATAACATTTTAACCAATCACATTAGTTATTGTAAGCTCGTCTTACCTAAGACTCGTTATTAACAAGAAATGGATATTATTGTAAGTTAGCCTTATCAAAGACTCATTAACAAGAAACCAGATTAGAGAAAGAAACTCACATGTGAACCATAGAAACAACCTCTTCTGGGTCAGCCACTGCATGTTCATTAAATGTATCAATCTCCTCCAACCTGAAAAACAACAAAGATAAAATAAAACCTCATTCACATAAAAAAAAAAAATACCAAATATGGACAAACGAATAAAGTGATACCGTACCATTTTTTATTCGTTCTACTAGAATACAATTAACCATAGTACCATACACATGGTGAGAAAATCTGAAATGCTCCATGTTTTTCTCACCATTAATGTAATAACAGGCTAACAGCCTAAGCTTGAAGCTACCCTATACCCACCCATTGAATGTAGATGGTGACACCCATTTGGGTTTTTTCTTGTTTATAGAGGGGACCAATATGGGTTAATATGCAATATTATAGGATATCATTCTTCGACATTCATTAAATTAACATCCATATAGCCAAAATCAACCGAGACGGATGAATCCCATATACATTATTGCTTTTACGACTCCCCGTCCCTAAAATAAAATTTCTTAAATACAACAAATACTTGAGGCCTTTTTTTTTTCTTAAGCAATTTAGTTTTTATCAAAGGCCAAACTTTAATTATAAGTTAATAACATCCATTCCTTCAAAAAAAAAAAAAAAAAAAAAAAAAAAAGTTAATAACATCCACATTGCCAAACTAAACCCGAGACCTTGGATCAACTCCAAGTACATCATTGTTTTTGTGACTCTTACCATACCAATTTAAAAAAAAAAAAAAATCAAATGTAAACACCAAATACATAACCCAAATTTAACCCATTTTGGGACTTCTCTTCCACTGTTCCACATTCTTTTTTTTTCAAAAATATTAAAAAAAAAGGGTAAAATGGTCATTTGGGGAAGACAAACAATTATCCACTAACGGTCTAGGGTAAATACAAAGTACGCAACAGGATCGCCACAGTGCTCGATAATCAGAAAAACAGGGAAGTACAAATTCAGGTATTCATCTAAAATTAAATGACAATACTACCCATGACTACATAATCTTTTTACAGAGTAAAAATATAATTAATAAATTAATTAAGGGGTAATTATGGAAAATAGGAGAGAGAAAATAAAAAGTGTAGCATGTCCAATGGGAATCCTAAGAACGAGGCGTAACCGTAAACAGAATAAACGAGTGAGATCAAAAGAAAGAGGAAGTTGCAAAAATATCTCAACGGTTATTATTGTTTCATAGGATTTCAGAGAATCAACGGTTCAGATTGATTTGACGTCGTTTAACTGAAAAAATAAAAAAAAATTGAAAATCACAGAACATCCGCCATTGTTGTTACTTACTTTTCCGCCATTGTTCTGTTCTTTAAGCTATGCAACTCCTCTGTTTCTCCAAGCCTGTAAAATAATTATTTCTCAAAATAAAACCTTCATTTTTCGCATTCACCAAGTATAAATTTTCTAAAAATGGAAAAAAAAAACATATTTTCAGATGAAATTCAAGAAATATATATATATATATATATATATATATATATTAATCATAATTTTGAAGTGAAGTTGAAAGGATAAACAAAAATGTGAAGACTATAATAACAAATAAAACATGTAAAATAAATGATTTCTCAAATTCGCATTTCACCACATAATTTTTCAAAAAAATCTAATAAAAACATATTTTCAAGTGAAATTCAAAATAAACTGAATAAAACCTAACTTTGAGGTGAAATTGAAGGGAAGAAAAAACGTGTGAAATAAAAGTGATTTTGAGGGGAAATTTAGAGGTTTGAAGTAAAATGTAGCTTGCATTTGAGTTGAAAAAAAAAGGAGAAATTGTGACGAAAAAACTGAAAAATTAGCAACATTTTTATTACCTGGGAGCAGTACGAGAAGCGGCAACGAGAGTGACGAAAAGGAGAAGAAGAAGGAGAGAAGAGAGAGAAGAAAGAGAAACCGCCATTGTTGGAAAGCTTGAAATAGTTCAGCTCAAACTCTGCTGCTCAGCTGAAAATTAGGAGAGAGAAAAGGGTGAGCCGTTGAGAAGGGTGGAGACAGAGTCGAAGAAATGTTGTAATGAAAAGAGTGTTTTTATAGAGTGAAAAAGAGTGAATGAATATGAGAGAGAATTAAAATAAATAAGTAAATAAATAAAAAGGATGTTGGTCCCACTTGCGGTTGCTGCTGCTACTACTGCTGTTGTTGTTGCTGCGCTCACTCACACACCTGCTGGCTACTGCTATTTAGCGAAGTAGGGAGTTGTACTATTTTCATTCTTTACATTTCATTTTCGAAATTATTTACCCTTATTCACTAAAAAGTTACAAAGTACTAGTACTACTATCTTTACTTTAGGGACCAATTGAGTTATCTTGATTTTTAATTTTAAACTTGTTAATTGAAATTTACACTTTTAAAGCTTTAATTTAACTATTGTTAGGGATGAAGTACGGGTTTTTTTTAAGTGTTTAGTGTGTAATAGTATAAAATTTGGTTTAGTGAAAAGGTTTGTTAACTTTATAAGTTAATGATTTAATAGAGGTTTAACCTCATAGTAACACACTAGATTAGCACTCGTGCGATGCAAGAGTTAGAATAAAAAAGTTCAATACAATATTAAATAATTAATTCATAAAATGTGGGTTTTTGAAAAGAGAAATATCACTAATACGTTTTTGGTTAATTGATGTTCACACTTTAATTTATTTATTAAAAGTTATTTTCCTAATATTGAATTTGGAAGGCGAAAAATATGATATAAATGATGTCATAAGCAATTTTGGAGGAAAATTTTTTCATGAGAAATTGACATGTGTACATTAGTGATGTAAGAGGTTTTTATTTTAGTTATAGTTATAGATTTTAGGGCCTTTTATCTTATATTCTTATTGGGATTGGTCCACTAGAAATAATGTAAACTATTAGTCCTTTTCTCCACTCTTATTCAACTTATTGTATTAAGGAATATATTCATAAAGTATTAAATTTAATTTTATAGCTCTAGTCTAATTTTATTTTATTTTATTTATTTATTTTTTGTTTGTTGGTCTAGTTTAATATTTAGATGTAACCACATATTGACCATATTATATACTAATTTATAAGGGGGGGGGGGGGGAAATAGTTCTTGTTAGATTCATCTTAGTGCGTATTTTTCCTTTTTTTTTGTAATTTTATTAATTCACAATAAAATATATGCAACTATAGACTTATAAGTAAAAAAAAAAATCTAATATATATTTTCCCGAGTTTTACGAGAGACACGTAGGATTTAATTTTCTTAGTGCGCCATGTAGAATTATAAATTTAAGTTGTAGCCAATTAAATAAGAAATTATTAATTTCTTTTACAATTAAATAATTCAAATGTCACGTTTAAATTAATTAAATACAAAATATTATCTTTAGAGATTAGGAATTTAATCTAATATTTTAAAACTAATATAATAACAATTTAATCACATAAATATGAAAATATTTTTTTTAAAAAATACTAACAAACCGTGCATCGCACAGGCTTCATCTAGTAATAATAATAACAAAGTTCATGGTTTGGTTTGATTTTTTCTAAGATATTCGATTTTATTTAAGTTTTTAAAACAATATCTTAGTCTATTTTATTTTAATTTATTTTATTTCATCTAAACTCATCTTGAATTATTTAATTTTATTTGAAATTATTTGATCTTATTTTATTTTATCTTAATTTATTTTCATTGAATCTTTTGAAATTATTTTTTCTGAAACTAATTTATATCTAAACTTATTTTCCAAAATAAAATACTTGTAAATTAAGTTAAATACGATGAAACAAACAAACTCTAATTGACAAGCAAGAATAATCATTATAAATTTCTTAAATAAGATACGAGTATATTTCAAAATTACATACCCAGGTCAATAATAGAGTACTAAATATCAAAGAAAATAATATTTCAACTAACATGATTTGTTTTGTATAATTAATATCTTGCCTTCAAAAATTAATGCATATCAAACAGGATAGATAATGATAAATTAACTAACTTTTTTTTTCATTATTAATTACTCCCTCCGTACCTTATGTACATGAAAAGAAATAGGCATGTAAATAAAAAGAAATAGGCAAGTAAATAAGGGAAAGCGGGATTATCATGTAAGTTATTAATAAAGTAGTATACAATTAGGTAACCTACAAATTAAATATATACTTAATAATTTCCTCCCTCCTTCAATTCCTTTTGTTAAGGTTAAAAAATTATTCATTTTCGGTTCTTATCTTTATCAACCTCTATAGTATATTTTTTTAGTTTAACATATAACAGTTTTTATCCATTAAAATAATTTAAACTTAACAAAAATCATTTAAATAAATTAGTACATACAAGTTGAATGGAACAAATCTAAGCATGCAAAAAAAAAAAAAAAAAAAAAAAAAAAAAAAAAGGTGAGGTGGAATAAGAATTCCTTATCCAATGCAATTGTCCTTAAAAAAAAATAAAAAAAAAAAATTTCTAATTTCATGGAAATTAGAAAAATGAGTTATACTCTTAAATAAATTGTACAATTATACTGTATATTGAAAGCTACTATACATTTGAAATCGATTTTTATCTTAAGTTTTTTTATTTAATATTATTTTTTAATTTGCATTTAGGAGATGTATGTCCTAAGTTAAAGAAAATTTGGAATAATTATGATGCTATTACCAATCATTCAATCTTCACACCCCAAATAATTATTGGAAAAAATAGATGATTATTGCTGGAAAAAAGTGAACAACGTTGTTTTTTTATTGCGGTAAAAATCAACTAACCAAAAACCCTACCTGCAAACTAAAGGTGGGGTTAATATTACTCCGTATTAACTCAGGGGAGGACAAGAAATGTGACTACCTAAGTGCTGTATTCACCGACGAAATGTATCGACACGTTTCATTACTCAAGCTTCCCCTAATTTCTTGGGCCTACTAATCCGTATTTTTTTATTTACGGAGTATTTTTTTAAATGAAAGGCCTACTTATCCGTATTTGATACAGAGTGGTATAAAAAATAAGACAAAAAAATGATAATATGAATTTGACGATTTTACCCCTAGCGTAACATGGTCCAGATAATTGGTAGGGAATGCCAAGTCAGCGAGCCGTTACAGAAGTAGGACGTTAAGAAGTGTTTGTCTGATTGGAAAAAATTGATTGGGTGAAAATGGGAGAGAACAAGGAGATGGAAAGAAGTTCGTTTTTTTATAATCGTTATTTTGTTTGTTATACAAGGGTAATTAGACTAATTACGCTGAATTTACGGGATACGGAGTATATGATAAAGTTATATGATTACTCTTTTACTCTAGCTTTTTCTATTGTAGAGGGAAAGAAGATTTAATTGAAAGTATTTTGACGATCGAGAAGGTTTTCACAATTTCAACCATTTGGGTATGAAAAATAGAAATTTGGGTAAAAATTGTGTTTTTACATGAGGATTTATGACTTCATATTGAAGGGGGAGATAAGGAAGTTTTTCTTTAAATAAATTTCACGACATTTGATCACTATATTTATGACTGATAGATATTATAGGATTACGATAATATTTGTCACAGAGTTAGAATATATTTGTATATTTTTATTATATAGTTTGTATTCTTATCGTTCTAGGTTTTCTAAAAAGATTGGGACTAGTATTGTAACATTATATATATTGATCAATTATACACACTCCAATTTGAGGAGTTTTCCCGAAATCTAACAATGACATACGAGGTAAGAAATGTCACTATTTGACCACCTCTATCTGTAAATCTCGTGTGTAGCCGTGTAGGTAACACTGTAACATGCATCGTAACAAGTATACTTTTTGTAAGTACATTGAACTTTGTACTAACCGTATGACGACTTTTAAAAACAATGGAATCCGACTTCGTACTATTCTTTAGACAGTTAGTTGATTGGGTAAATTTGAGTTGGCTTTCTACTCGAATTGGCCCATTATACTCGTGCCAATTTATTTATTTATTTTATTTTAATTTTTTTAAAATAATTGAATAACCCACTAACATGTCTCTCATGTCATATTTCATTTTCGTTGATCACGTTGGTGTTGAGTCATGTTAATTTCATATTTAGCTTAAATAGTCTACATGCCATCTCGGCTCATGCCAACTCTATCCAATCAACTTCCAATTCTTGCTCATTTAACTTGAATTAGTTGAATAGTTAGCTATTGATCCCCTCCGCACTGTAGAACTCTACGCTATTGTCACTAGCTATGTAATCATAGTATTAAACCCCTTAAACCCATTCATTTATCACAAATATTTCACTTTTATATATCTAAGCACAAATTGAAATATAGAACAATTTTATTAATTAACTTCAAATATCATCATTGTATTTGACATTGTATTTAAAAATCGAAAGCAAAAAAAAGAAACATGGATTGTAGGTTATTTTTCATGAAGTTATATATGTTATATACTCTATCAATATACTTGTATTAAAATCACTTCAAAACAAAACAAAGCAAAGCAAATAAAAGACACACACTATTGGCTTGAAGATCGATATTCTCTATTAGGGACGGAAATGGATCGGGTTCGGATCGGGTGGATGGAGCTCCACCCGCATCCGTCACCCTCATCCGTCGATTCACCCGATCCATCCGTCACTCGTATAATACATCACTCGAAATCCATCCATCCACCATCCGCGAGTGAAACAGATGGGCTGGGTGGTAAACGGGTGGGCGAATAAAAATTAATTTTAGATTAAAAAAAAGCTTGAGAAAACTATTTTAGACCCTTTAATATTAAAATAATTATTGTAAAATAATTGTGATATGTCAAATATTAACATAAAAAAATAAAATATAATCGTACCATACAACTTCTAATGTGCAAATCTAATATATATAAAGGGGAGTTTTTTCCCGAGTTTTTAGAGAGCCACATAGTATCTAATTTTCTTAGTGTGACATGTAGGATTATAAATTTTAGTAGTAACCAATTAAATAGGAGATTATTAAAATCTTTTATAATTAAATAATTCAAATGCCACGTAAGCAAAATTAACGAATGAGATTCTAAAGTTTAAATTAATTAAATATAAAATATTATCTTTTG